TTTGGTCCCTCTATTTTTAATTGGCTCAATTTTCATCATTGATTTAAATTTTGGGTCAATTTAGTCCAACTGATAATGCCATCAGTGTTTTTGAAGGAAAATAATCTATGAATTGGTTGATATTAACTAACTGAGTATAACAATTTTATAATTTTTTTCTAAAAAATATGACACATATCACTTGTATGCATATTTTTTCATAAAAAAAAAAATTGCTAAGAATTATAATCAATTAGATCAAATTGAAATAAAATCATAAATTAAGGGTTAAAATCGAGCCAATTAAAAATACGATAAACAAAATGATACAAGGATCAAAGTACATGGACTACTAGCATAATTTTCCCATTAATTTATTAAATCACAATAAAATATAAATTATAAGAACTACTATAATAAAGTGTAATAATACTCTAAAATAATAGAATAATTATACACTTCTAAGCATTGATCATGTTTCAAATTACATAAATATTTTCTTTGCCTTATATACTAAATTTACCTTTCTATTTGATACGATTAATGAATCAGGATGTCCCATAACCATGGAACACTTTTTTTTTTTTTAATAGAAAAACATGATACGTAATTGTATTACACATCTGACAATAAGTCGTCTAATAAAATATATCGGAGTACAAATAAACTACATGCAAAAATCACGTTCAAATCTGTCAAGTAAACAGCGTGTTTAACAGCGTTAAATCTTGATTATGAATCAGATCTGAGTCTAGATTTGAAAGCTTCTTTGGTGGGAAGTTGATGATAGAAACAAGATTAGCGAGTAGTGACTAGTATGGTGTTGAATAAGAAAGAAATTACATTTGGTGTTTAACTGGCAGCAAATCCGATACTCCAAGTGATGTAGCATGTTTTTCTTAGCAGTAGAGGTGCTGGTTCCTCTGCTTTGGCAGATTACACTGTGGGTATCTGTGTGTGTAGCTGGTAGGGGTGGGATTGGGGTGGGGTTCTGAGTAGTTTTTTGCTCTGCTTGGGCAGTGATCTGTTTAGAAGGGCAGAAGCTGTTGAGGCTGTTCGGGTCTGGCTTGGGTTTGGTTGTTGCTGTTTAGATTTTATTTTTATTTTTTGGGTGTGGCTGGTACTCTGCGTTGGTTACTCGCCAACATCAGTTCCAGATTAGTTGGGTTTTGTTTTTTTTGTTTCGGCTTGTTGCGTTGTTGCTTCTTTCTCTTTTTTCTTTTTTACAACGATGAGAAGAGAAAACTTATGAGTTAAGTGCTAGCATATGATTGTACTTCCTTTGTGGTGCCAACTTAATTGGGATTGTTTGAGGTTAGCTATGATGCTTTTTGCATTTTCCTTCTTTGTTGATGTAATTTATGCATATATTGTGCCTCTTTTTCATCAATAAAGCTTTTGTTTTTGCTGATCAAAAAAAAAAAAAAAAGAAGAGAAAGGTTAGCAACACCACTCTCTTCTCCTAAACAGAAAAGAAAGAAAGGAAACGGTTAGAGTTTCTTATAGAGTGAAGGGCTAAGGTTTCTTACCATGGAGCACTTGTTGGGTTCCATCAATTCTACAAACTATCATATTCTAAACTCAGTTCTTTTTTTATTTAAGAATGGACTGGCAAATTATATTAGCCTTGAAAATGTATCTCGAAAATTTTCTAATGAGGAAACCATTTTATTTTCTACTCTTATTACACACTTCAATTGAAGAATCAAATTGGAAATTATTATTGGACACATATAGAGAAAGAGTCATCGAAGGCCTCATGTAAGCTAACCCACAGAATCTCTGGTCTTATCAAACTCTCCCCATTGATCAGTTTTGATAGTCCCATGCCATAAGTAATTTTTATTTTTATTTTTTGGATAACTCGGTATCTGGTCTAAGAATTAATTAAAGAGAAATGCTCCATTTTCCCATTTTATCACCCCCCCAATTGCACCTTTAATGAGGTCGAAAACAATACCAACCAATCAACTTTTTTCAAATTCTTCTCTCTCCTTTTAAAATTGTTTACCACCTTATTAGAGGTAATTGGGAGTGATAAAATAGGGAGATGTAGTAAAACTCATTAACTAAATTGGAGACTAATTCTACCATCCACTAGTGAGGAACCCAATTAAAGTTAGGCAAAGCCCCTTATGTATTGGTTCCAAAAATTGTTTGCACTTAAAGTTTCAAACTTAAGACCATGAAGAGAGCACATCGCTAGACCCCAAACTTTGACCACCAGGTCAACCCCTTGGAATTGTAAATTCTTCCAAGTATTGATGATCATTCTAAGCTCATTTAAATAAAGACCAAACTAAGATGTGTTGGCGTATACGCCAAATGTATTGATGGCACTTTTTTTTGCAAACTTTGCGGAAGGAAGATACACAGAGTTTTGCTCTGTGTTTCATCTCCAGTTGTGAGACTTTTTGTTGTGCTTTCCTATTTCTTTTCACATAGAAGTAGAGTCCCTTGATAATGTTTCTGTTAATATTTCTGATAGTTGCTTCTCTGAAGTTATGTGTTGCCTACTTCTTTTCTTTTATAATTCATTCTATGTGCTCTTATAATTTCAAGGGTTCACAATAGTTCACAATCAAACATGACCCTATTTTCAAGGGTTCACAATAGTTCACGTCATCAAAACACAATCTAATTAAAGATGATTTAGCCGTGCTGATCAATTAATTAACTTGTACCTATGGTTAGTGTTGTAATATGTTGCCTTGCCATCCAAAACTCTAAAATATAGTTAATATGCAAAAATGGCGTATTTCCAGTCCACACTCGTCTGGTCCAGGTATGTAAACGGATCACGGATTCCACTTCGATGATCTAATATGTTCATTTTGAAAGTCTGTGTATATGCATCAAACAAAATAAAATTGGATTATATTTATCTTTAAAAAAATATAAAAAATAAAAAAAGTGAATGATTTATTTTCAAAATCATAATTACTATATATTTTTTCAAGACAAATATGATAAATTTGTATTTTTATAATTATCAGATTAATAATTTTTATTTTTTAATTATTTTTTTTTCAAATAATATATACATGAATAATGAATCAAATCGTCATAACAAAACACATGATGGCCTTTAGACCAAGGGCATCTCAAGCCTATTTGAAGTCTAAAGTAAATTTTTTAATTAGAGTTCTTTATAATTTTTTATATTGTAAACTTATTTTGGGCGAATTACACAAATAGTCCTTTAGTTTGGGGTTTGTGTCACTTTGGTCCATAACTTTTCAATTGTGACACATTTGACCCTGAATTTTGAATGTTGTTCCAAATAAGGAAATTTGAAGATATCATTAGATTTTTCAAGGGTAAAATTGTCAATTTGATAAAATATAAACTAATTTGACAAAAATAAATGTCAAACAAATATTTTTGAATTTTTAAAAATTATTCATGCCCACTAAAAATAAAATTCTGTAAAATTGATAAATCTTTTAGACATTTATTTTTTTTTTTTACCAAATTAATTTTTATTATGTATTTGGATGATGATCATGTAAAATTAATTTTAAAAAATTAATCATGTAATTTTTATTAATTTTACATAATTTTATCATTGGTGGATAAAAATAATTTTTAAAAAATTAAAAATATTTTTTTGACATTTATTTTTGTCAAATTAGTTTATATTTTATCAAATTGACGATTTTACCTTTAAAAAATCTAATGATATTTTGAATTGTCCTTATTTGGAACAAGATTCAAAATTCAAGGTCAAATGTGTCACAATTAAAAAGTCAGGGATCAAAGTGACACAAGCCCCAAACTATAGGGACTATTAGTGTAATTAACCCATTTATTTGGTATACTATAATATTATTAAAATTCATAACATTTCAAACCTTCACAATTAAAATATTTTGTTAAAAAGGTCTTTTTGTTGTTTTGATTGGGAGCATCTCTAATATTTCATCAAATTCTAGTAAAACTTTGAATAAAAGATTGATCTGATATGATGTGCTCCAATTGTTTCATTAAATTTGGTCGGTCATCCAATATAGAGTAAATTTTCATCAAATCTTTTCCAATTCGGTCGTCTATCTGGTTGTCCGGCCAATCGTCCACCCAGTCATCCACCAATGGTTATCTGTGAAATTTGTTAAAAAGTTAAATGTTTCATTGATTTGATGAAAGTTTTGGTTTTCCTTCATTTGATATGAGTTTGATGACACGGTTAGAGCTTAAAAAGTATACATTCTTTTATCAAATTCAAATTTGATAAAATATATGAGTAAGGATTGGAGACGATGTAATAAAATGAAAATCTAATGATGAGAACTTTTTGTATCCAATGAGAGAGATTGCTCTACTCTGTTTCTTATTTGACTAAAGTCTAAGATACATATTTGATGACGTTAAACTTTTCAGAGAAACTACACTACAGTGGATGTTAGAAAAAAAAAATTACAAAATAAAGATAAATATTAATTATTAAAATTATAAATAATGATAAATATTTTTAAATTATTAATTAACTTTTCCCGTCACCATTGTGCACCAATTGTCCCAAATTTTTATTTATTTATTTACCTATAGATTTTTTAATACTTCAATTTGGAAAAACTATTTACCTTGAGCTAACTTCACCTTGTCCATGGGCGATGTTTTGTCATCCACTACATAGGGCATTATCCATATGTCCTCTTTTGATTTTTGGTTGATCACCATGTTGACTTAGTCCCACTAGTGATGGACAGCTTTCTAGAAATCAAAATCAAAATCAAATTGGAGCACTATAAACTATAACCTAACCCATCAATACTAGTCAAGCCAACATTTTCTTCACACCATAATGTCGTCAACTTCTTTCAACTACATCCAAAATTTCTTACGAGACATAGCTAAACACAACACTCCAAAAATCTCTATAAAACAATGCCCACTTGCCTTATTGCATGAATGCTTTGATCTCTCTCTCTCTCTCTCTATATGTATGTACTCAAAAACCCATAGTATTGTGAGTACTACATTGACTAGCCACACAAAAAAAAAAAAAAAAAAAAAAAACAATGGCAGACTTCAAAGGTTACTACAACTACTACTACTATCTGTGTGTTTTTGTCATCTTGACTACTACTACTTGTTCCATGGCCACAGCCTCACCATCTGACGTAATCAAAGGGGCTTACTGGCCTTCAGGGGCCTCGGATTTGCCTCCGTTATCCATCGACACTACGTTGTTCACTCACATCTACTATGTTTTTCTTTCACCTAACAATGTCACTTTCAAGTTTGATATCTCAAATTCAACAGCCTCGATGCTCTTGGACTTTACCTCTACGCTCCATGTGAAGAAACCGCCAGTGCAGATGCTCTTTTCCATCGGTGGAGCCGGCGAAGACCTGAGTATCTTTTCCAACACGGTATCTAGTGGTCACTCAAGGAGGAGTTTCATTGAGTCATCCATAGAAGTAGCAAGAAAGTTTGGTTTTAATGGTATTGATCTTGATTGGGAATCTCCTCAAAACCCAAAAGAAATTGAAAATTTGGGCCTCTTACTCCATGAATGGCGGGCTATGGTCCATAAAGAGTCCAAGGCAACGTGCCAGGCCCCTCTCTTGCTCACCGCGGCCATGTACTTCTCCGTGGACTTTTTCCTCTATGATGTCCAACGCTCGTACCCAGTGGATTCGATTGGTAAGAACTTGGACTGGATCAATGCGATGTGTTACGATTACCACGAAGGATGGGAGACTTCGACAACAGGGGCCCAAGCTGCATTGTTCGACCCAAAAAGTTGTTGGAAAATTTATAAAGAGGTAGTTGTGAATTGAAATAGACTCCATTTTGAATGAAATGGTGCAACCTTTCATGGTGTCTTTTTCTTTTAAAGGAAGGGTCAAACCTCCATTTGAATGAAAGGGTGCAAACTTTTCATGGTGTCTCTTTATTTTAAAGGAAGGGTTATGTCCCTTCTTCATACCTTTTCTATTCAAATTGAATAGGTGCCAACAAAGCCTATATAAAGACAGTCCCATTCCAATTTTGATTGATTCCGAAAATTCATTTTCCTTGCCTTCATTTTGCTCTCTTGCGTTCTTTATTCTTCATATTATTTTAGGGTAATTTTCAGAGAGTTAGAACACAGGTTTGGTTCGCCGAACAAATTGTTTGGAGTGCTACTACAATTTGTGAAGATCATTGTATCTTGGGAGATAGACGCCACTCAACCGTAAGCACCGTAGCAAGGCGAATCTGTCTTAAGGACAGAGTGTCACACACTCGACTTGGTCTTTTATTTTTAATTCGGTTCGATAAATAAATTCGGTACATTATTTATTTATTGGTTTGATTTTGTTTCAATTTATTTTATTTACACAGAAGATTGTTCCAACAATCTTAAGACAGATTCGAATTATTCTGTTTACAGAATTTTTCGTTTGTTTCCTTTTGTCTTTCTTCGTTTATAAAGAAAATTATTTTCTATGGATTTACAAATTAATATTCTAGTTGGAAAAACAAATAGTGTTTATATGCTATTTGACAGATAGTAGTAATATACTGTCTATTTTCATTAACAACTAGTAGTACGATACTGGTGTCATTAACAATTCAGAATATATTTTTGTGAAATTTTGTCAGAAAATTAATTTTGGTTTTTAGAAATTATTTTCTGAGTTTTCATTAATTAAAATTTTAGTTTTAGTATTTTAATTATTGAAGTGTTACTGAAATTAATTTTCGGTGTGGAATTAATTTGGTTGAATAAAATTTTATTTTATTTCCAAATTAATTGAAAAATAAAAGTTATATTCATATTTCTTTTATTTTACAGAATTTAATTTTTCTGTGTGGAATTACTTTGGTTGAATAAAATTTTATTTTATTTCCAAATTAATTGAAAAATAAAAGTTATATTCATATTTCTTTTATTTTACAGAATTTAAATTTCCTGTGTGGAATTAATTTGGTTGAATAAAATTTTATTTTATTTCCAAATTAATTGGAAAATAAAAGTTACATTCTTGTTTCTTTTATTTTTTACAGAATTTAATTCTGTGCATTTGGTTTAATTTTCTGTGTAGTGTAAATTCGAATTATAATTTTGTTTTATAAATTAGAATTGATGGCTACTAAAACAAATGCCCAAACAAGTACTACTGTGGTGGCTGCAATTACACCAACCCCCTCTCCTGTGGTGACAGTACCAATAAATCATGGAGAGAAGCCAGAGAAGCTCTCAGGAACTGACTTTAAAAGATGGCAACAGAAAATGTTGTTCTATCTTACAACTCTGAACCTGGCTCGTTTCTTCCGTAAAGATGCTCCTATCCTGAAAGAGGATGAAACTGACCGGCAAGTGGTTGTTGCGGTTGATGCCTGGAAACATGCCGATTCCCTTTGCCGGAATTACATCTTAAACGAACTTGAGAACACATTATACAACGTCTACAGTCCAATCAAGACAGCAAAGGAACTTTGGGAATCGTTGGAGAAAAAGTACAAAACGGAAGATGTCGGCTCAAAGAAATTTGTGGTTGGCAAATTCCTGGATTTTGTAATGGTTTATTCAAAAACTGTTATCAGCCAAGCTCAAGATTTCCAACTCATTCTGCATGACATTCACGCAGAAGGCATGTCTCTCAGTGAATCCTTCCAAGTTGCAGCCTTAATTGAAAAATTACCAAAAGGCTTGAAGGAATTCAAGAACTACCGCAAACACAAGCGCAAAGAAATTTCTACGGAAGAATTAATTGTGCGTTTGAGAATTGAGGAGGACAACCGCAATTCTAAAACGCGGGCTGGTAAGCATCCTATGGAGTCTAAGGCAAATATGGTGGAACATGCTTCAAAAACCAAGAAACGAAAGTCTTCTAAAGAAAGTTCATCACAAAGCTCTAAAGGGGGGAAAATAAAAAGTACAAGTTTAATGGCAAATGTTACATCTGTGAACAAGAGGGACATCGGGCCAAAGATTGTCGTAGCAAAGGCAAAAGCAAAAGAAGAACAAGCAAGAAGCCTGCTCAAGCCCATATGACCGAAGTGGACAATATTTCCAATGGTGTAGATGACATCAATCTTTCTGCAGTTGTTTCCGAGGCAAATCTTGTCAGAAATCTTAAAGAATGGTGGGTGGACACTAGTGCTATTCGCCATATTTGTGCCGACAAAAAGATGTTCACATCTTATTCTACAGTGGACAATGGTGAACAACTTTTTATAGGCAACTCCTCAACTTCCAAAGTTGAATGACAAGGAAAGATTGTACTCAAGATGACATCTGGAAAGGAACTCACTCTCAACAATGTGCTGCATGTACCGGACATTCGCAAGAATCTTGTTTCCGGATCTTTGTTGAGTAAGAATGGGTTTAGGTTAGTATTTGAGAGTGATAAATTTGTATTTACTAAGAATGGGATGTATGTAGGAAAATGTTACATGTCTGATGGCCTTTTCAAGTTAAATGTAATGACCGTTGTACCCTCAGTTATTAATAATAATACATCTTCTTCTTACTTGCTTGAGTCTTCAAATTTATGGCATAGTAGACTAGGACATGTTAATTATGAATCTTTGCGTAGATTAATTAATATGGAATGTTTACCTAAATTTGTAATTGATTCAAATCATAAATGTGAAATTTGTGTTGAGGCAAAATTATCTAAAACTCATTTTCATTCAATTGAAAGAAGTACGGAACCACTTGAATTAATTCATAGTGACATTTGTGATTTTAAGTCAATTCAAACTAGAGGTGGGAAAAAGTATTTTATCACTTTTATAGATGACTATACTAGATATAGTTATGTTTATTTAATTCGAACCAAGGATGAAGCTTTGGAAACTTTCATTCAATATAAGAATGAAGTTGAAAATCAACTTGGTAAGAAAATCAAGAAACTTAGAAGTGATAGAGGTGGTGAATATGAATCACCTTTTGGTGAATTTTGTAAAAAATATGGAATAATTCATCAAACTACCGCTCCTTACTCACCTCAGCAAAATGGAATTGCTGAAAGGAAAAATAGGACTTTAAAAGAAATGATGAATGCCATGTTAATAAGTTCTGGATTGCCTCAGAACTTGTGGGGGAAGCAATACTTTCTGCTAATTATATTTTAAATAAAGTACTCTGAAAGAAAGTGAATCAAATGAAATGTGGCATGGTAGAGTACCATCCTACAAATACTTAAAAGCGTGGGGGTGTTTGGCTAAAGTGGCTATTCTTAGTCCTAAAAAGACTAAGATAGGTCCTAAGGCCATTGATTGCATTTTCATTAGTTATGCCAAGAATAGTAGTGCATATCGGTTTTGATTTATAAATCAGAACATACCGAAATGCATGTAAATACTATTATTGAGTCTTAGAATGTATCTTTCTTTGAACATGTGTTTCCGAATAAGATTGGACGAGAGACTAGTAATAAGAAAAGATCTTTTGATGCTATTACTAGTAATGATCAAGAACAAGATCATGAGCAAGAGCAAGATCAAAATAAGGAAGAGGAACCTAGGCGTAGTAAACGTGCTAGAACTTCAAAATCTTTTGGTCTAGATTTCCTAACATCTTTGTTAGAAAATGAGCCGTTAACTTTTAAAGAGGTTATGTCCAGTCTTGAGGCTCCTTTATAGAAAGAAGTTGTCAATAGTGAAGTTGAATCCATCTTGCAAAATCACACTTGGGAATTGGTGGATTTGCCACCAGGTTGTAAACCTCTTGGATATAAGTGGATTTTCAAAAGAAAATTGAAAGCGGATGGATCAATTGACAAATACAAGACAAGACTTGTGGTCAAAGAATTTAGACAAAAAGAAGGTCTTGATTACTCTGACACATACTCATCGGTTACTAGGATAACATCCACTAGAATGCTAATTGTCATTGCATCTCTATACAATCTAGAAATTCATCAAATGGATGTGAAAACCGCTTTCTTAAATGGTGAGTTAAATGAAGAAATTTACATGGAACAACCAAAAGGTTTTTCTGTTCCAGGAAAAGAAAAGAAAGTGTGTAAATTGGTTAAATCATTATATGGTTTAAAACAAGCGCCAAAGCAATGGCATGAGAAATTTGACAAGGCAATGATATCAAATGGATTTAAAATTAATGAGTGTGACAAATGTGTTTATATTAAAAACACAGACAAAGGTTATGTCATTGTATGTCTTTATGTAGATGGTATGCTCATCATAGGTAGTAATAATGATATGATTAAAACTACCAAGAAAATGTTAAATAAACATTTTGACATGAAGGGCATGGGCATTGCTGATGTTATTCTTGGTATGAAAATTACCAAAACATCAGAAGGATATGCTCTGTCACAATCTCATTACATTGAGAAAATACTTGACAAATTCTGCAAAGATGATGATCATCTTGTTAGAACACCTGTAGATATTAATTTGTATCTTTCTAAGAATATACAGGAAAATATTTCTTAATTAGAATATGCCCAAATTATTGGAAGCTTAATGTACTTGATGAACTGCACTCGCCCAGATATAGCTTATGTAGTAAGTAAATTAAGTAGATATACGAGTAATCTGGGAGTAGAACACTGGAAAGCAATTATAAGGGTTCTAAGGTATCTCCGATTTACTTGTAATATTGGGCTGAATTATACTAGATATCCAGCAGTACTTGAAGGATACTGTGATGCAAATTGGATATCGGATACTAGAGACTCAAAGTCCACCAGTGGGTATGTCTTTACTCTTGGATGTTTAGCTATACATTTTTTTTATAAAAAAAATGGTGTACCCCAGCCGTAGCCGTAGCCGTAGCTGTACCATACTT